TAAAAATTTTTTTGGCTTCGTAGTCAAAGTTCTCCATTACATATAACGAAGCAGATATGATTTATGTGCGTGCACTGAATAGTGCGCCGCTCTCCAATAATAACTCCCTATCATTTACTTCATCTTTACCTACTATGGTTCCTCCGGCCTAGTAGTGTCAGTTCTGCTGTGCGCCTCTTCTCCCAGCGAATCCCATTTCAAGTTGTAAGTATTCAAAAACTTTGGCCAACAATACCACCCCCCCCCTGCTCCCCCCAGATAATTGATAAAAAAAGACGAGTTGTGTAGTTGTAAGTCCAGTTAAGCAGGAGCAGCTTGCTCATCTTCACTTGGGCTGGGGGGGGTTTTATATTGCCATCGTGTTTTGCAGTTATATGGCAAGGGTTCAACATCCCTTCAACACAGTCAGGTTATTTCAGAGGATACACTTTTAGACTGTCTTCTCTTTGGTATGAGAGATTACAAAAACTTGCAATCTGAGGCCAGTTAGTGTTGGGTTTTTTGGTTAGAGTAAAAAGAAGCAGAAACAGGGAAAGTGAAGACAGAAGTAGGACCAGGGGCTCTCGTGGCCTAGAAATTAAGGTGTTCGCCTCTCATTCAATAGGTCGGCGGGTGGTTGACGGGTGCTCCTTCTTTCCTATTAAACATCTATCTTCCTTATCTCTCCTTTTTTGAGTTTGTTACTCTCTTGTAACACTTCTAATCTTCGGCACTTATATTATGACCTTATTGTGTTGCAAGTGCCATAAAACTCTTACTAAAACCATTCAATAGGTCCCGGATTCAAATCCAGATAGCGACGGAAAATGTTCTTCTCTAAAATGTTCTCCTTTCACCTCCTTTCCTGCTGTTTTTAGCAATGTTCTGTCGCCTGCTTTCATTTCCCAACTCATCACCTCCTTTGCCCCCCTCTTCTGGGCTCCTGACTCTTTCTGCAGACTTCCTACTGCTTCTCCTTACTGCTGCCTTTCAGCCACACCCCTGATCTTTTGGTAGGTAATCTTCTCGGACAAGGGCGAAAAACCTCGGAGAACCTGTGTGCATATTGCGCACTTTAGTTTTAGTAGAGGTTTTACGACGCTCGCAACTGCATAAGGTCATATGAGCGCCAAGGGGTGGATGTCAACAGAGAAGTTCTTTCAGGGAATCAGACGTACTCTGCTCACCTCTCCAGCTTCAACAGCACAAAGTCTGCTTTGACTATCAAGGCACCCCGGAAATAGCAGGTCACAAAAGTGTGACAAACATACAAAAGAAGTAGAGGAAAATGACGATAAGGATTTGGAAAGAAAAAGCAGCAGTTCCCTGTTATCGTTCAGGCACAGTTATTAGCATGACATTGTTCGATCAGCCCATGTAGGAATGGCCTAAAGACACTTCAGTCAGTGGCACCGCCCCGGGGGTGGCGCACGTTAAAGATCACTTGGTGGTCCAAAAATCGATGAGTAAGTAGGCTTCGGGTGCCACCCAGGCAAAATAAAAAATTTCCACCAATTGAAAATCAATGTGTCTCGTGCGTTCATATGACTTTATGCAGTTTCGGGCACCGTAAAACAATTACCAAAAAAAAACGTAAGACCTACCAGTGACGCCCTCAACCTCCCACTCTCAGGCCAGGAATACAGTGGAACTCGGATTCAATGAGGTCGCCAGGCCTGACCTAAAATCTCGTTGAATCCGAGTGTTCGTTATAGCAAACACAAGGTTTTGTGTAGATAATTACTGGCACTGAGCAAGTAATGTATAAAGAGAAGTCAAAAGTAGTGCCTAAAATGCCTGCATATTATGAGCTGTGTATGAAAAAGACCGATTCTTTCAAATTCACACGCTTGTGTCATCTCGATCTTTTACCAAAAGTTGGGTTGCTGTGTAGAGCCTAGCAGCATACGGCAACTTTTGAATCCATAGACCATGTGTACAATTCATTACGTCGATCTACGTCAAGACTAACTTTTAATTGTAATAATGATCAGTTGCCGAGGGGGAAAAAAGACAATGGCGCGTTTGTATCTGCGACGTTCAACTCCCGGACCGCTAGTGC